AAAATGTTTCCTCAATCAAACGGACGAAAAATAACCACCCGGCCCCTCGGGAGGTTGTGAAATTGTCCGTAAAGGTCCTCTTAAAGAAATCCTTCGGATAATAACCGAAGAACACGAGGAGAGGAAGAGTAGGTGAAAGAGGAGAGATAGAAGAGAGACCTAAGGGTCGTTAGTGCTGACCAACCCTCTCCTCCTCGTTACATCGAGTGTTCCCTTCTGTTTCTCCAATTATTGGCCCTGAAACAGGAGGAGGCCCTTAACCGGACCCTGTCGACTCAGGCAAGCCGAGAACAGGATCAAAGAAGTCCTCCTTATAACCTTTCTCCCTCATTGACGAGACATTTCGATTATAGTTCAGTTAATATTTGTTAAGGGAAACATGTCCTTTTATTCAAAAAGTGTAATGTCAAAATACACATTTGCAGGATACAACAAATACTTTAATATTTAATTAGCGTATTGTCTAAAAATCATAATAGTTGTACAGACTTGTTAAGAGTCTACTATAACCTCTCTCCATCTAGACATACGACACCCACTATGATCCTATATTATCATTCTCTCGTATCCTCTTCCTCTCTCCCTCCCCTATCTCTTATTTTCCATTTTAATTTATTTATCTCAATGCATTTTCACACATTCCCTTTCTAATTGTTATCTTTTTATCTACTTTTTCTCGGTGACACTGGCACTCTTTTTCTTTTTCTCTCTCCCTCTCATTCTCTCTCTCTCTCTCGCTGCCTCTCTTTCTCTGTTACTTCACATGTTAAGTTTATTATTGCTATCTAAATGCAGTTTTATGCTAGGTCTTTCTAGTTTTTTCTACTTTTTCCATCTTAATTTTTTTGTCGCCGTCTCAATATCTCAATGCACTTTCCACACTGTCTTTCTACTTTTTCTCTGTAACACTCTCAATCTTTTTCTTTCCCCCCTCTCTCTCTCTCTCCCTCTCTCTCTCTCTCTCTCTCTCTCTCTCTCTCTCTCTCTCTCTCTCTCTCTCTCTCTCTTTTTACATGTTGTTTACTGTTGCTATCTCACTCTTTCTCTNATCGTGAGATGCGGTCTGGTGTGATGTAGGTTTCAGAAAAACATTTTCTTTATCGTGCCAACGTTTCGATCTTTATTGAGATCATCTTCAGGGCCTGGGATCTATAAACATTGTCCAAATTTTACAAATACATGTAGGATGTGAAAAAAAAATAGCATTGTATAAATTCTTTTTTTTTCACATCCTACATATATTTGTAAAATTTGGACAATGTTTATAGATCCCAGGCTCTGAAGATGATCTCAATAAAGATCGAAATGTTGGCATGATAAAGAAAATGTTTTTCTGAAACCTACATCACACCAGACCGCATCTCACGATTTCTAAATAAATAACGATTAACGGTCACTAATCACCACACATTATTTTCTTAGTTCTTCTCTTTTATTCTTTATTTTACATGTTATGTTTTCTGTTGCAATCGCAATGCACTTTCACACTAGGTCCTTCTACTTTTTTTCAGTAGCATTCACTCGGTCTCTCTCTCTCTTCCTCTCTCTCACTCACTCTCTCTCTCTCTTTCTCTCTTAATCTCTTTCCATCATAATTTATCCGTTGCTAGCTCACCACTTTTTCACACTATTCCTTTCTACGTTTTTTCAGTAATTTTTTCTCACTCTCTCTCTCTTTCTCTATCGCCTTCCCTCTCCCTCTCTGTTTTTCTTTTTCTTTCTGTTTTATTTTCCGCGCATAATTCTTACATCCTACATGAATATTTTTCATTGTCATTCTCAACAGGTTTCTGTTCTTTTCTATCCACACTGATTTTCAGTTTTTCTTTTTTTCCAAGTGTTAGTTCCTTTTATAACGGGGAAGCGAAGTAATTGTACGAGATAGAAAAAACAAGGGTCCTTTTTGTTCGATTACACTTTTATGGACGGACAGAGTAACGAATGAGACGCTAAAAGGGTTGGGGGTCGGCCGTCGGCGCAGTATGGGGCACCCCCGGGTTTGAATACTCATTATTTTGTAAACGAGAGTAAACAGAGCTCGTTATCCCCGTACGTGGGCCTAGGGTTTTGTTAATGAGAGGCCGAGGTGGGACAATGTGCCAGCGGGAGGCCCGCCGATAGCCGCATCTGTAAATGGAACTGTGTTACGACTAACGAACGGCACTGCACACGTCCCGTTACAGGGATGGTAAACAAAAGAGGCGGACCCAGCACGCGCCTCTCATCTGGGAACTCAATACTTGTTTTTTCCACTCTTCCGAAATCTCAAAAGAAAAGTATACTATCAAATTCTACGGTTCAAAAATTCATGTCAGCAACACCTCTGACTAGACGATCCAGAACATTTATGAGTTCATATCGAACATAATGGGAATATAATATAAAATAGATCTAATTGCACTTTGGCCTAGCCTAGACTAGGCCTGACTAGATAAATCTTTCCTCATTTGGCAATTTAAATTATGAAAAAATCCTAATCACAAGAGTATTACAAAATATGTTTAAGTAATTAAGGTTTTTAGTTGAGATAAAAAAGTCAGTGTCACGAGCGGGATTCGAACCCATGACCTTCGGCTAGATACGCCGCAGCTCTACCACTTGAGCTATCGTGACTTCGATCCACTCGTGCACTAACTTCCCATCTCATCCCCACCTTTTGAATTTTTCCTCCTTTTTGCCATTTTTCAATTGGTCTAAATTGAATTTTTTAATTGGTCAAGCGGACCACGAAAAATAGTGAATATGTTTAAGCCTATGCAGTGACCGTCCAGGTCACCCAAGGGGCATATGGTCTAAAAAAAGACAACATCTGTAAGTTGTCACATAAATATTATTATTTGATGTGTGAATACAGATATTCCATCTTCCATTATTTGAAAGTTTAAATAAAGGAAAAGGCATAAGTAACCTAGTGGTTTCCTAATTTATGACCTTTTCAGTCTACCTATACTATACTGTCACATAGATCAACCACTGAAGATGACAACATTGGCCAAATTTGGTCTTTTTGTTCCACGATGAGATTACGGATTCCACGATTATTTATTATCTAGAGGTTTGTGGGGTGATGAACCTGTACATTGATCTTTTCTTATCATTTTTTTTGCCTATTCTCGCTTTTTTGTTCCTTCAGGCCTGACTTTTAACAATGTCCTGCCCCACCCTGTACACATCCTTGACCAAATAAGATTTCCTTCTTTCACATAACAGCTCAAGAGTGTAACATTCGACAAATTTGGCCTTTTTATGGATGAAGATGAGATTTCGTCTTGAGGTTTATTGGGTGACGAACCTGTATGTTGGTCTTTTTCTATAACTTTTGGTCAGCCTATCCTGGTTGTATTATGTCATATGCGAATCAGGTTTTCATCATCTTCAGTAGATAGGAAATGCCACTTGAGTGTAATGAACCCACAACAAAGAACACCCTGTATGAACTATAAAATTGAATTTACTGTTTTTTCCATATTGCCAACAGTGCAAATGGAATAAAAATAATCAACAATAATGTGAATTGTTCCTAAATGAGTGAACAACTTCTAATTCACTCCAAACATAGAAAAACAGAAAAGCTAGTGTTTTTCGTCCAATAAGACATTTTTTGTAACTTATTTTTATATTGTTAACTATTTTTATTTAGAATAGAAAGTATATCAGTATATTGTAAAACATTATCTGTCAATATTAGTACATGCTAATTCTCTAAAATTGTCTGTTTTTTACTTCAGTAGTGGTTTCTACTCAACAATGCATGTTTGTACTGTTATTGTAATTTGATTTTTTTGTCTTATCCGGTGTTTTGTTTTTTTTGGTGGGTTTTGTCTTTAGGAATGTTTTGTTTGAATGGTTATAAGGCGAAAAAATAACCAACCATTTAAGATGGCAAAAAGCCGAACCTTGTCCATAACATAAAAGTAAAAGTAGCGACAATCTGTAAATAACCTGTGACATTTTTCGATTGGTGATGAACCCATAGTTGGGTCATTTCCGATCGTCCTGGAATTCTTATCGTCGATGTTTTTGTCTGCTTTTGGCCAGGGTTAGTTCCTCGCCCAGCCAGGCTTATATCCCTGACAGACTCCATTTTTTCACCGGATTCTTTGGATGTAAGACTCGAAAAACCTTCCATTGCAGCTAAACGATATAAATCATCGCCAACTATTTTACAATCTTATATACAGATTTGTTTGTCTAAATAGGCACCATAGAGATCACTGAAGATGACAAGATTCGATAAATTTGGGGCTTAAGTGTATAATTGTGAGATTTCATCTTGAGGTTTGTGGAATGATGAACCTATAGTCGTTACCCGGTCGTTTTTAGTCTTATCCTTGAGACATACAAGGCCACTTCTGAAGATGGCGAGAAGCCAAAACGCATCTACAGAGTAAAACAGTGAATATATGGTACGCCCATCCTCCTAAGAACTCCATTTTTTCATTAAAGAACCAAATGAAAATTGAACTAACTCTGTTTATATGTGGGTCGTAGTAAGATTTTTTATTTTGAAGAATAATCTAATGAACTATTAAATAATTTTTTATGAGAATTCAATTATTGTTGTTATTTTGGTCTGTAAGATTTGTTTCGGCTTTTGGGTAAGCCTGTCTCACCCTGACGCACCACAAACGATGGCAAGACGTCGAAACACGTTTGAAAGATTATAAGAGCGAATGGTCTGCCTGAGAAGTCCAATCATTCATTAAAAGCCCAATTAAAGCCATATAAATAAAAATGAAACAAAAGAAATTGCTCTTCATTGAACTAATTTTGTATAGTGTTTATTGATTTCTTCATGATGGTTCATTTTCGCAGTTTTGGCTTGTCAGACAAGTTTCGGCTTTTTTCCGTGTTTTGTGGTGGGTCAGGGATATAAGCAGCTAAGGTAGTCAGACCAAAATGATCAGAAACAACCAAACTACCGACTAAAAATAAGTTTTTTATTCCTGCATTAAGAAAATACGTAAAACTCAAATATACACAATTTTTTTGAAATTAAATCACACCAAAATTGTTTATAATTAATGGAGTAACTTGATAAAAAATAATTAAAGTTGATAAATGTGGAAAAGGTCGCTAAGTTGACACATAAGAAAAATATTTCTCGCATGTCTTTTATATCAGATCCCTCTTATACTTACGTATTGGTTGATTGGATTTACTAGATTAGATATACTGGAAAAGTTGCACCATTTTCGCCGCTGTAGCAGGCCAAACTCCTGGATCAACCGAACAATGCATATAAATAATAATCTGTACGACATGCAGATTATAAAGATTGAAAAATGTTACAGTTTAATTTTGGTCAGATCCCCCTTTTCAGGTTCTTCCATCTGACTCGTTCATCGGTTTTTCCAGGCAGGTGTGTCATCCGGGCAGGTTCCAGGTGTCGCAGGAGCACGGGCTCATTGTCCGGGGTGTCATCAATGCCGTAACTGTTGCGTTTCCGCAGTTGGCCCAAGGAAACAAGTCAATCCGGCCACAATGGATTCGTTTTGTTGTCGTCCGTTGTCCTTCTCAAACCTCAAAAGCGCCGTTTGAAACTGGCCTCCCGTCGACGGCGACACGTTTCTTTAGCTGGAGACCCAGGTAACAATCGAGTCGTTATTGTGGCAATTACGACGATTGAATCAAATTCCGTTGACGTGTTTACGTTGAGAGTCGAATTGTGTTTTAGCCACCCAAAACGAGCTGATCAAAAGAGATAACTTACTTTATTTGACCGAGCGACGAACCTCTCTGAAAAAAAGGCCTATTACCAACTTTTCAGCGATCTCGTTTAATTTTGAATTTTGTCTTTACCACCACGCAGAAACTTGACAAGTGACTTCACCCCGTTTGCTACTTGAGCCACTCCACCGCTCACTGTTCCAGCAGCTTCCGCTTTCCGGATCGTACTTTGTCCGCCTTTCTGATCGTCCAAGTTTCAACGCTCCGCAGTCCGTTACTATAGCTCTTAATATGTATTTATTTCCAGGTTATACCCTAAAGAAATCACATTATTCACTGATGAGCTCTGCGAGTTATAAAAAAAAGTGTTGATTTCTTTTTATGCTTCATAAAAATATATATTTCCATTATACAGGGTGGTCAAGCATAAACCCGAAAAAAATGGGCTGGAGCACATTCTAAATAAAATAAAATGCAACTAACCGGGCTGTTCTATCTCAATCCGGTCGGAAATTAATGAAGTTTTACAAACAATCCTGATCGTAAAAAATCTTTGTAATAAAATGGCATTTTGTCAAAATCTAAAGTATATGTTCTAATTTTTAAAAACATTTTTGAATTCTGAATTAAATTTCCATTGGCATTTTTTCAAGACACAGCCAACCGAACTGTTCTATCTCAATCAGGTTGAATGTTATGAAGTTTTTCAAAAAATCCTGATTTTAAGTCATAAAATGGTATTTTGTCAAGATCTAAAGCAAATGTTCCAATTTTTAACCACATTTTTGAATTCTGCATTAAATTGTCATTGGCATTTTTTCAAGACACAGCCAACCGAACTGTTCTATCTCAATCAGGTTGAATGTTATGAAGTTTTTTCAAAAAATCCTGATTTTAAGTCATAAAATGGCATTTTTTCCAGATCTAAATCAAATGTTCCAATGTTTAACCACATTTTTGAATTCAGCATTAAATTTGTGATAAGAAGGAGTTATTTTTCATCTTATCAAACGCCGATGTATCTATTAATTCAACATAACACGAAGAATTTTAAAAAAGGAGAAACTTTTGATAAATTTCAAAAAATTACTGTTTTTCAACATACATAAAGAAAACGAACACTTTGAACATTTGTTGCGAGTTTCGCCTTTTTTTTAGTATTTTATTATTTTTTATTACAGTTCATTCTTCCCCTGCACGCGATAAAATTACACATTTGAACCACGTTCTTTAACATTCCAGGTTGATTTTACCGTTCAAAATCTAATCAAGAAAGAACTAATGAATTTTCAATTTGGTATTTTTAATCGACGTCTAGATATTTTTTTTTAAATAACCCATAAAAAGAATTCTCTGTTATTACTTATTTTTTCTAATTATTTATAGGCAGCGAGTTACATATAAATAATAATAATTATATAAGTAAATATTAATTGAATAGATGTTACTTGGGAGAAGGTGCTACTTCAAAGTATGAGTTTATCTTATTACCATGATTTTTTGGCAGATCCTCGGACTTTATGCTGTGAAGTTTTCTCGTAATATTTTTTTTACTAATCAAGAAAGAACTAATGAATTTTCAATTTGGTATTTTTAATCGACGTCTAGATATTTTTTTTAAATAACCCACAAAAATAATTCTCTGTTATTACTTATATTTTTAAATTATTTATAGGCAGTGAGTTACATATAAAAATAATAATTATATAAGTAAATATTAATTGAATAGATGTTACTTGGAAGAAGGTGCTACTTCACAGTATGATCATATTACCATGATTTTTTGGCAGAGCCTCGGATTTTATGCTGTGAAGTTTTCTCGTAATATTTTTTTACTGATGAAGAAAGAAATAATGAATTTTTAAAGGTGGTAAAAATTTTTTTTTAAATAAACCGCAATAAGAATTCTCTGTTAATACTTGTATTTTCAAATTATTTATCGGCTGTGAGCTAAATATAAATAATAATAATTATATAACTAAATATTAATTGAATAAATGATACTTGGGAGAAGGTGCTACTTCAAGGTATGATTTCATCTTATTACCATGATTTTCTGGCAGATCCTCGGGACTTTGTATAACTATTGCTTAGAAATATAATTTGATTTTTTTTTAAGCCAGTCAAATTTTGAATGTTTAGGCAAAAATGTGTGGTGATTAGTGACTGTTAATCGATAATTATTCAGAAATCGTGAGATGCGGTCTGGTGTGATGGAGGTTTCAGAAAAACATTTTCTTTATCGTGCCAACGTTTCGATCTTTATTGAGATCATCTTCAGGACTCAAAGTGTTTGTCTTCTGTGCAATTCTGCCATTCTTGCGTGTTGTATTGAAAGTGCCGAGAGTTTAGTCAAAACAGGAGATTGGTCCTTTCAGACTGGCTTAAAGCTTTTGTTGAATTTTATTAATGTAAAATGTATAATAATATTTATAGTATTTTGCTTTCAGGTTGTATCGTAAAATTTTTTTGCTGATCAAGCACGAAATAATAAATTTTCAATATGGTATTTTTAGAGGTGGTCAAGTTTTTTGTTTTATAAACCACACAATAAGAATTCTATGTTATTACTGATATTTTCGAATTATTTCTAGAATGTGAGTTACGTATAAATAATAATAATTATATAAGTGAATATTAATTGAATAAATAATTCTTAGGAGAAGTGTTATTCCAAAGTGTGGTACCATCTTATTAAAGTGATCACATATTTTGTACAAAAAATTTTTTTTTATTACCTAATGGTTCATAGGCATCACCATCTGTGTCAGAAACGTTTGAAAAAGGGCTGTTTCAGTCGTAAATTAGTACTTTCGACGATATCAGAAGCCCGGGTTAGAAGTCAAAACTCTGCTTCCTCCCCGATACCCAGCCAGTGCATAAATCTATGAGCCTCATCCGGCCCCGGAGCATATTTATTGGGCAAACATTTGTGTTGGACCAGGAAGAAGCAGTTGGCAACACTCGGCCGTCTGGTGACACGGGGATTATCCTTGTGATTTAATGATTCCGACGTCTCCCCGATGAAAACGCCTCGCCTAAACAAACGTTACGCTTTACCTGACCAGGCTCACAATAAAAGGAATTAACCGTTCTAAAACAGCTGTTTATCTTTTTGTGTTGTTGTAAAGCTGATTATCCCATTGATGTTTGTACTGCATGGCTTAATTTTGCCACCAGAGACAAACTCTCCTTTCAACAAACATACGTTTATTTTTAACAGAATAGAATCGAGATATTAAGTTTTGACGAATAGGTCAACGATTTTTTAAAAATGGGTGGCTTAAAGATTGTAATGTTTCCATATGACAAAACATTGGACATTATTCCTACTAAATCCATTATATTTCGTGGTCCGATTGACCAATAACTTCTTTCAATTAATTAATTTTTATGTAAGGTAATAAAATAGTGAGTGTCACGAGCGGGATTCGAACCTACGATCTTCGGCTTAATACGCCGCTGCTCTTCCACTTGAGCTATCGCGACTTCGATCCACTCAGAAACCAACTTATTATTATTGCTACTATCATCATATGGGGCTATTATACCATCTTTGGTGGTTTGTCTTTATCCGATCTTCCACTTTTATTGTGGAATCCGGTGTACCTTAGGGCAGTGTTCTGTCAGACATTATAATTTCCTCCACATCCAAAGAGGCCAGCCCATAATCCTCAGAAAAATCCTTTTATGGGTCCAAAGAAACTACACGTACAGGCCTAAATATTCCTCTTGTCCAAGATGTAATCCAGTCCTGTTATCGCCAATTTCATATGAACCACCCAACCAACATAAATCCTCAGATACAAAAACCGTCATCCCGACGAATTCCAAATTTCCTCGCCGACTAAATTGACAATGGCCTAGGATTTTCTTTCCAAGGATAGTGATACAAACCTACTACTACTATTCTAGGATCCACAGGAGTACTACCAATGGATAATTTCTCCAGACTTGTTTATTTATTTTATTTTATGCTCTCATTGTTACTTGTAATCTAATTCAAGGCTGTAAAGGTAAAATATATTTAAAAAAAAAAACATATCCTATGTAAGGTCTTGGTTGAGATAAAGACAGTGTCACGAGTGAGATTCGAACCCACGACCTTCGGCAGAAAGGAGGGAAAATTCGAAATGTAGGTTAAGATGGGAAGTGCGAATGTCCGAGTGGATCGAAGTCATGATCGCTCAAGTAGTTAGAGCAGGGGCGTATTGAGCCTTAGGTCGTGGGTTCGAATCCCGCTCGTGACACTGACTTTTTCATCTCAACCAATACATAGAAAGAATAATTAATTGAAAGAAGTAGCTTGGCCAATTTACCACTAAACTGTAAATGCATATAAAAAATATTCTAATTGACAATTATTTATTACAAACAATACTAAATTTTTGATTGTTTACCATTTTTAGGTATCCTCTCCTTTAACTTGACTTTGAACTTTCAAATTTTGTTGTTAGAAATTTTGGATTTCATTTTTTATACGGAGACCAGCCGGAAGTTTTGCCTACGTTTTAATTGTACAGTTTTTTGTGTGAAATTTTGAAATTAAAAACAACATACTTGAAACTACTCAATTTTTTGGTAAATAAATAAATTTTTAATCGTTTATATCCTATACAGGTAAAATGTAATAAGGTGAACTAGAAATATTAAAAAATATTCGGCAATAATAAATATTATTGAAATAAATGTTGGAGGAAATTAATTCTGGCAAGATCACAAGTTGGAATTTCGGTTTGACCTAGTTGTCCAACATTTTTTTAAACTCTTATTTATTATCAATTTAACGAGTAAGTTAGGGAAAATAACTGAAAATTCGTATAATCGTAAATTTGTAGCAATTTATATTAATTTTTTTCATGAAAGACATATGAATGAATTATAAATGAATTATATGCCAATAAAAAATATTGCTGAGTACCGGTGATAATTAATCCCCATGCAAATATAATATGAGTTTAAATTCGATCTATTGAACCGTTCTATCGAAGATGATGTAAAAAGTACAATGTAGATAAACCGATTTAACAAATAGAAACAGGATAGGCCAAGATTAAAAGCCAATAACGGTGATTTTGAGGGTTGGTGGGAAACTTTTGAAATAGAGAACCTTTTGCCCTGATAAGGTGCTTTGACCATTTTTGAAGAGTTGATTGAGGATTTTTGTTTGGAGGATTTGATGCTCTGGATGTTGGATTGCTTGGCGGTTCCGCTCCTTTGACCAAAATGGTCGCAGTAAAGTTTTGTATTAGGTTAGTTTCATAGGTCAGGTCAGTCTACGATTACCTCAAGTTGGTCTTTGATGTCGGAGGTAATTTGGATAGGATTCGAGGTAGAGGACAAAATTGCGGTATCGTCCGAGTAGGCGGTAATAATGGCATTTGGGTATACAGGTTGGTCAGCATTATAAATCATATAAAGGATGGGTTCAAGAATGCCCCCTTGTGGGACGCCGGTTTGTATCTTTCTGACGTCACTCGTTGCCGCACCTCACTGTGAAGGAGTGGTCTGTTATGTAGGATTTCAGAATAAGATGAGCGGGTAGAAAGCGTTTAAATTTATAAAGCAAGTAAAATTTAGAATCTCATCCTGATAAAATATTTTTGATATCTGCGTAATCTAGCTTTCAATGTAATATTTAGATTAATTAAGGTGGGGTTGAGATGGGAAGTTGGTGTCCGAGTGGATCGAGGTCACGATAGCTCAAGTGGTAGAGCAGCGGCGTATCTAGCTGAAGATCGTGGGTTCGAATCCCGCTCGTGCCATTGACTTTTTTATCTCGACTAAAAACCTTAATTAATTGTAATATATTAATTGGTCAAGCGGACCACGAAATTAGCGAATGTAATATTTAGACTAGATCTTATCTATTAATTCCCTAATAGCCCAGGGGATTTTCTACTTGGGGATTATAGAATTTGCTCTTTTACTTCAGAAGGATGAAAAGGCTTGAGAAGAAGATGATGAGGAAGAGGTGTACTAATGTTATGCATTACCTGGCGCAGCAGACCTTAAAAAACAATTCCACAACTAAATACAATAAAAAAAAGTAAGCGGTTCAGAAGATAAAGAAAAAAATAGAGATCAATTTTTATTCTCTTATCATGTTTTAGGATCGAAGTAGATAATCTGTACATTAATGATTAACTTGAATTATTGCTAAACTATAACTTATGAGATAATGTTAAAAAATAATAAAATAAATACTCACTATCAGCTTTGATATGTAGAAACTTGTATTTTTAAATTTAATAGCTTTATGAACAAAACATGCAGGAATCAGATAGTGCAATTTTGTGAAATTTGTGTGTGTTTTGTGTAGGATGATCTTCTAATTGACTGCTGCCGGTCATTTCAGTATGTCTATCCTCGCTGGGTTGGTTTGTCCGACGCGTTTTGACATTTGGCCAACTTCAGTGGGAGCTGTAGGTCTTAAGGCCACCATCGTTTGGATTTAGAAGGTTCTCAGTATTGAATAGTCTAGCCAGGCTTGACCAGTTTAACATGGAAAGTTTAGCTATAAGGTCAGGTCATTGTGAATAATGAGGTTATAGACGTTGAAAAGAGGTTTGACAATTCGTCTAAGGACTTTTGAAATGATATCCTTTCTGGTCTAGAATAGTCGATTGTTTTGTACTGCCATAACAGTATGGGCCAAGAACTCTTCGTGGTTTTTCTAGTCTTAGCAGTTCTTGTATCTTTAGTTTTGAGTAAATTCCAAAAGATGGCGTCTATAGACCTATAGTCATTAGTTGTTTGTAGTTTCTCCTTGTTGAGGATACACAGTGAAGAAGTTTTGTAATGAAAATCAAATTTTTTGTTTAGTTTTCCCATGTTTTTACTAGAAACAGGTTCTACTTTGTTGTTGGAAGGGATTAGATTACCTTGGATGAAGCAGTACATCGGGACAGCCTGAGTACGTAATAATGATTGGCATGGGATTTGAAGATAAGCCACTGGAATAAAACGCAGGATTGGTCATAGGCCATAAACTTTTAATTGGCTAATCTGCGAGTTGGTGCGCTTTGTTTTGAAGCGACGGACAGTTAAATAAGATTTTAGGTAACGTAAGAGTGGTTAGCAAATGGTTTATGCACAGACCCAACACTGCAATAATAGATCAAAATTATAACTAACGATAATCTCACAATAGATTTTTGTTATAACTTATTATATGAATTAAAAATTTTCTTAAGAAATATTGAGATTGTCTAGTTAGTTCCAGCAGCCACGTAGGAAAATGTTGAACACGGGATTAATTGAGGGTATCAATTTATGGAGCGGTTTTAAACGATTCAGCCTCGTTGGTTGAGGGCACAAGAGTGGACATTGGGTCAACTCTTGATTGTCGATGATTAAATGATGAGGTGAGCCCGCACGGGCAATTGGATACAAAAGCCAATTACGGAGCACCCAATCAATTGGGGTCAACAAAAAATTTTTTTTATACCCAATCTCGTACCATCCCCGTGTAAAGGTCCGTTATGCAGTTGTGCGTTCCTCGACCCCGGTACAGCCGAGGTTTTCTACAGTCGGAAGCTGTTCAACGGGTCTAAACAAATGGGGAGGTCTCACGTCACTCATCCGATGTGGCGTTCTTCCTAATTGGTTTAATTTGTGTCCGGTTGGTGAGATGTCACGTGACCCTCATCACGTCCTTAATAATTCGTCGGCTGGAAGAAAAAGGCCGGAATTACGTACGGTCGGAAAGAGTTCTTAACGATTGCCGAAAGTACACCCCCAAACGTATTTAACATCGTTACTCGCAATCAAATTGCCTTTATTAAGTTGTCAGCATTGTCTGACTAAGAAACCTGATCAAATTACAAATGGCCAAAATAATTAAATAGTTGACATAATACGTTCCAATAACACTATTGAACTAAAATATCAAGAAATTCCTCCCTCCTTTCCATCAGAAGGCATAAACAGAGTAAACATTTGGTGTTGTATTTTGGTTGGATAGCATAGTTACGAGCTTGGAGTAGCTCAGACTCAACGATCCACCTAATCCCAGGTTGTCTTTATCGCTCACGGTAATCCCGTGGGGTGATATTCTAAAATGGGACCGTATGTACACCCGGATCGTAAACTACTTCTGCATTTTAATCCCTGCGTAAATATATATATAGAAAGGCCTGAGGAACGTCTTTGAAAAAATAAACGATGTTTATTAAATTTTAATTTGATTAATTTGAGCTATAACAACCCACCTAACCTCTCAAATATAACTTTTGGCTCTTTCTCATTTTCCTTTCACCCTCTCATACATTTTCTCTAAATTGCCTAGTTGTCGGATTGTCTGGATAGAATTTTTTTTAAATTAAATTTATTTATTACAACTGGTCTTATTGGACCAACCATTAATTTTACAATATGGATAGAAATCATTCTCGTTTTAGTTCCCCCCCTCACTTTCACTCTCTCTTACTCTCTCTCTTTCTATTTATTTATCTCTGCCAACCTTTACCCGTCTCACTGTCTCTCTCTCCCTCTTTCTATAAATCGACTAGCTTTTTAATTAAACAATTAAGATATTAAAATTAACATAAATAAGAAAAAAGGGATATAAAAGTTTGTAATAAAATATTGCATAAAATAAAAGAACCTCACATCTCTCTCTCTCTCTCTCTCTCACTCTCTCTCTCTCACACACTCTCTCTCTCTCTCTCTTACTCTCTCTTTCTATTCATTTGTCTCTAACAACCTTTAACCGTCTCCTGTCTCTCTCATCTCTCTCTCTCCCTTCTTCAAGTTCAAACATTTTCATATTAACTATTTGTCTAAAAGAAAAGTTATTTTTTAAATACTATATTTTTAACAAATTTGCCATTTTGAATCATAAAATTTAATTAATAATTCATACATGATGGTATGAGCTGATTTTACTGATGATCCTAATTTTCTCGGGCAATTAGGTCTCATAAAAACCTGACCTATTAGGTTTTCCTAGTACTAGATTGTCTGGTTAGAACTCACTCTCGTTTTCTCTCTCTCTCTCTCTCTCTCTCTCTCTCTCTCTCTATCACACACACACACACACACACAATAGTACTACCTGAGAATTGCTTTTCCAACGTGAGTTGTAAGCAGAATTTAAAGTTTCGAATCACGTGGAAAATAGACAATAGCTTTAAGTAACCACGGCAAGCATAAAGCATATCTGTACAGATTCCAACTAGAAGAAGGTGACAATTGCACATGCTATGGAGGTCATCCACAGACCTGGGAGCATTTGATATTCGTTTGTCCATTGGACGAATCGACACGTTCCCAAATTTTGAAGAAAGTGGTTTCAAACTGAGACCCATGGCCGCTACATCTGACTTGGTGGTAAATATTGCAAAGACCACGAAAGTTTTATTAATAAACTTCACTTCAACCTGTTTTAAATCAATCAGTTTGTTGATGTTGATATTCATTTCATATGTACAAAAAATTCAATTCTTATAGTTTGCCAATTACAAGTGATAATTCAG